ATAACTACTTACTTCTTACAAGTTTACATTTTTAACTTCCAAACCACCAAATGAAATTTTGTGATTTCCGTAAATTCAAACCAGCTGTTTTTGATCAGCTGTTTTCCTGTTGGCAAATTGCTTTTGGCAAACATTTTTGCAGCAGAAACCAGCAGCTTCCCCTCAAGATGAAATGTCACTTTGCTCTCTCAATTTCCCCTACTTTGCAAGTTTTTTGCGTACGCGAACGCAAAAACCTGAAAGGTTTGGTTAAACATGACCAATTAACAGCTACGCGAACGCAACTATTGTCTATCATTCCAATGCCTAGTGAAAACTCGGCATTAGTTTTGAGCGAAAGCTTATGGCTTCGTCTTCTCAGTAAGTCCAATGTCATTTATCTTAATTATGTCCATGGTGAGATACGAAATAAGATTTATAAAATTAATGCCGAATTTCCTTTTGGCATGGAAACTAAACAGTGCTTAGTTGCCACAAAATTACATAAGCGAAAATCCTTGAGTAGAAAAATAAAGTTTTATAAAATTTTTTAAAATTGGCCTGGCATCGCTTAGGATGAAACGTGTATATCTCAGTAAACGACTTAAGCATCTTAATGCATAAAAAATTTGCCAAATCGGGGAATAACCAAATAACGGTATTTTAAGAAATGTAATAAATACAATAGTTCTCGCTTTACTGTTACGATTTACTCACGTTAGATGTCTAAAAATTGATAAACATACATACATACGTAAATACAGCGTATTGTATGATAAAAACTTATTAGCTCAGTAGCCACTTTACCGATCTCTACGAAACTTAGTATGTACAATACCAATTTTATATTTTATGAACTCATGTCGGATAAAAGATTTAATTTTATATTACTTTATTTAATTTAATTGTTAATCCCTTTTACATCTTTGAATTACCTTTATTTGTTTTATGTTATTTTCTTTCTTACTTGTTTATTAACATAATTTAATTTTGTTTTATTTACTAGATTTACTTAAATTTTTTGCATTTTTTATAATATAATTAATAAAGTTTTTCAAATTAATTTAATTAGATTTTATTTACTTTAATTTTATTATTTTAATTTTTAAGTTTTGTTTTTTTTTTTATTTTTTACTGAATTAAATTTTTTATTCGGTTTGATTTTATTTCTTTTTCATTTCATTTTTACTTTTGTTTTAATTATTTAACGTACTTAAATTTTGATAATGTTTATATTTTATCATATGTTGTTTCATTTAAATTAAAATAAATTCGTTAAATTAACTAAATTTTATTGGTTGTAATTTTTATTTTATTTTTTATTTTTTAAACGTTATTGGTTTTGTTTTATTATATTTTATTTCATTATATTACATTTTATTATATTATATTTGATTTTATATTATTTTATTTTATTTCATTTCATTCATTCATTTCATTTGATTTTATTTTATTTGGTTTGATTTTATTTTAATTTGTTTTAGTTATTTTTATTTCTTTCTTACATTTTTAATTTGTTTTATATTGATTTAGTTATTTTTTGCTTCATTTCGTTTTTGTATTACTTCATATAATTTAGTTCAATTTCATTTACTTTATTTAAGTTTTTTATTTTTATTTACTTATTTTTAAAATTTAGTGTATTTTATTTATTTTGGTTATATTTTATTTCTTACTTTTTTATCTACTTTAGCTAAATGTTTAACTGCGTTTTATTTCTGTACTTGATTTTTAGCTCATTTTATTTCATTTTAATTTAATTTTAATTTAAGCAATTCATTTGTTTTTTTTATTTTATTTAAATAATATTTTCTTTATCTTAGATTTTTATTTAATTTATTTACTTTAACAAATCTTACTATTGTTTTAGTTTCTAAATTTAATTTAACTTAATTTAATTTAAATGAAATTAGAAGTAATTTTCCTTCTTTTTATTTGATTTAGTTTGTTTAATTTGTTTTAAAAATTGTAATATATTATCTTATTTTCTTTATTATTTTTTTAAATGGTTAAATTTTATTTTCAAGATTGTTTTATTTGTTTAAAATAAAAACCTTTTTTAAATTCATTTTATTTTATTTTAAACTTTGTTTTAAATTTGTCATATTTAAAAGAAAAATTATATAATTGAATTCAGTTTTATCTGTTTATTTTATATAATTTAGTTTATTTGATATTATTTTAATTTGTTTTAAGCCACAGTATCTCAAACTTAAAAATATTTGCTTTTCACACCGAGCAATAGCCACCAAATTAGGCGTTAGATGGGACATATTAAGATTCTAAGGCTGCATTTTTAGTTTTACTTTTTCTTAAAAAACAACACAGCCAAAGTAGCAAAAACCCTTTCCATTTTAGAGCACAAATATTTATAAAGTTGTTTGTTTTTTTTTTCTATGCGGAAGAGCGTTTTTGGCATACAATTTGTCGCACAGATTCATTTTGATTGAATTTGAATTCTGCCTTGAATACTTACTTACATTTCATGAATTTAAATTTAGAAGCACTTAAGCTCGAAACCGCCGCCAAAATATTGAAAGATAAACAACCATGAAATCAAAAATTAAAAATCAACTCACACAGAACGATCAATCTTTACGCCGGACAATCCTTCTACATTCACATCACGGAAATTCAATTTCAAATTCAACGAGCCAGCGCGGCCATCCGAAATATCAAAGCGTTTGACAACGAAGGGTTCAATGATTGGAAATCCCGCAGCCTGATAGCCGGTACGCCCATACTGGCGCACCAAATTCGTTGAAGTGCGCGTTATGCAGTCTGTGTCGCCGACACGGCAGCGCGGTATGTCGGCGGCTAAAAGTGAAAAAAGAAAAAGATAACAACAAAAGTCACTTCAAAGATTTTTAAATACAGAAAATCAGTGCGAAGAAGTCGCAAGAATGTAGAACTTTTCTGTTTTTTTTTTTTTAACAAGGAAATCAAACGTACGAAAATTTGAGCTTGCTGCCGTTGCCAACAGCAGACAGCTGCTGATGAGGAATGTCAAAAGGAACGAATTTCGCTGCTCCATGAACATTTTTATTCCAGAAAATGTATTGCTATGCTGCTTTAAAGGATGAAGAGTTAAAGCTTTCGGTTTCTTTCCTCAAAGTATTTGCTTTGCAGCGTCGAAAGGACGTTTACATGCGGTACGAAACAAAAGACTTAAGCGACAAACCCGAATTTATTTTTGGAATAAATTTATAGCTGAACGCGCTATGCGACCACTGATGCGCTGCTTTTTATACGTTTATATTGGAGGTGTATACCAACAATTTTTACCCGAAATTTTATTCTACTTAAATTTATCAATAACCGAAATGTTGCATCGTCTAACTGCTACTGAATTTTCGTTCCGTTTGATTTTGCGTTGAATAATTTGTATTTTATATATTTATCGGCTTATGTAGCACGGTCGCGCACTCGCGTTGTCTTCAGCAAATTTAAGTTATTGGAATAATTTTTGCGAACTCACTGTTCGAGTTCAATGCTAAACTGTAAAACAGTTCTGGACAAACGCAGGCATTTATAATCTTTTTTCGATGGCTCGGCCGCTGTAGAATTTTTTGTTTTTGTTTTTGTTTTCGTTTACGTTTTTGTTTTTATTCATTTATTTATTTTATTTCTTATGCTCGTCATTTACCTACTTCAGTGTGTTGGTTTTTATTGTAGACTTGTTTTATTTGCAGTTGTAGCTTTTAGTGTTTATTCTACACAGCCAACAATACGATTCGCGAATGCTAGGCAAGAGTCATACAAGCAAACGTGCATGCATACAAATTTACATGCATAAATTATTCATCCAATTGACTAAACGGACTGCTAGCTCGCCTATTCTTCTCTCCGTTTCAGTGTGTTTTGATGCCAGCGAATAACGACAACGAGAATGACGACGTCGACGATAATGGCAGACGTCAACTTAGTTGAGTGCGCACGCGTATAAACCACTATCCATGTCCAAAACCATAAATAATTAGTATTATTAACAGGTCTAGAAACGCACAGAAATTATCAATAAATTTTTAATTGGCTCCTATCAAGTTTTCGCTTAAATATATGCTGTATTTGTTTTGTCCTTTTAGTACCGTCATCGTAAATATCATTATAGTCAATTACGTATGTATGTATGTACGTAGCAAAGCTATATTTTCAACATTGTTGGCATCACCGTTGCCTTTAGGTCGGCGACGGTTTTGGCTTTTGGCGTCCATGCCAAAGCATTTCACAGGAATATAAATCTGATTTTAACGTCCAGATAGTTCTTAATGTGTACATACATGCATACATACATTCAGAATGCCTGAGGCTATTATTAGCGTTAAGTTTCTGTTCCTTCCACTGCTATTATTCGATTTCTTCTTGCCATCTTACACTCCTCTTTCACACTTGACTTGCGCACAATTATCTTAATGAGATTATATTCCGTAAGCGAAATGATTTGCAGAAAATAGCAAAAAAAATGCATGAACATAAAAAAGTTGCCAGCTTTAGTGGCTGAAGATCTTTATTGACTTTGTTTTGATTTCGTTAATAATCTTCCAGGTAGAATTCCTCTCCGCTTCAAGGTCAAAAAAAAAATATGCGTCTTTTTTATGGTTTGCAAATTAACCCATATAAATATGTACATATGTAGCGTTCATACGCATACATACATAAGTACATATATACGTATGTACATAGTAGCTAAGCCTCTTTATAGGTATTTTTCCGACATTGCGAAATTCTGATCTCGTGATCTGGAACTTTGATTTGTAGTTGTTGGATTTTGTCCGAGTTTAAAGTATTTTTAGGATTCTCATTTGTTTACATGTACGTCAATATACTTTAACATGTGTATGTAATTAGATATGTATGTTTACATGCGTTTTAATCTGTGTACGACATGGCGAAAGAGACCATCGAAGGTAAAAGGTGGCGGGGAGGGAAGAAATAGTACTGCGCTGTAATATTTAATGCTGGACATAAAGAACGCATTTAATACCGCAGCGCATAATGATGATGCTCATTAAAAAAGGAAATTCCAAGCTATATCATAAGAATAATAAGCAAGCTAAGGTACTGGTGTGATAGGGGCTCTGAAAAATACAGCGCTTTGGCAGTGGTGTCTCGGGGAACTGTTCCCGTACCGCTCCTTTGGAATCTAAGGTATGAAATATCGAAACATATCAATGAGATTGAGAGGGCCAACAGGGCCATAAGATAGTTGAAAGTCTTTTGTAAAACAAATGAAAGACAAATGGCAAGAAAATTCGAAAGCTCTCTCATTCACCAGTCGTGGTGAAAATCTAGTTTGGGAGAAAGCACTTGTATATCATTTAGCTCGCGCCACTCCAACAGTCGTAATAGCCGAGTGAAAAAAGCACAGGCAAGCCATACGAGAGATCCGAGTTCGAGTCCCGGTCCGCGGATTTTTTTTAATAATTTTTTTTTACACATTGCTGTTTTAAAACGAAAAATATCTATTATTTGATTTTTAAAGACTTATTTCATTTATATTTTTTAACCGACTTCCAAAAAAGGAGGAGGTTATCAGTTCGTCGGAATATTTTTTATTTTTATTTTTATTTTTTTTATGTATGTTACCGCATAACTTTGAACCCCGTCAACCGATTTAGATAATTCTTTTTGCATCGAAAAGGTAGTGTCTCAGAGGTGGTCCCATACTAATCTGGTTAAGATCTGAGAGTGGATCATGAGATATATATGTATATATATATTTTTTTATATGAGATTTGAAGTCGGTTTTTTTTTTGCTAAAAATTACTTGTTTATTTAATTATTAGAGGTTATTCTTATTTTTTATTATTTTATTTTTTAGGAAATTTTTAAAATTTATATTTTAGTACATTTTTCTCTTCTTTNTTTAAAAGAACATTTTTTTAAATTTCATTTAATTTTTAGGAAATTTTTAAAATTTATATTTTAGTACATTTTTCTCTTCTTTTTTAGTTTATTTTTCTTTTAATTTTTAGATTGTATGGTTTAAAAAAGAATTTTTTTTTTAAATTTAATTTATTCTCAGAAACTTATTTTATTTATTTATTTTTTAATTAAATTTGTTTTTCTGTTGTTATTTTATGGTCTTTTTTGATTTAGTTGTCTTTTAATTTGTTGAATTTGTTTTAAAATTAAAAATATATTTTTTTCCTTTTAATTACTAAGTTTTGTTTCCTTCTTTTTATCTATTTATTATCTTCTTATAATATCCTTTTTGTTTTTTTTGTTTTCTTAAGATTTTTTTTTAGTTTCATTTAATTTTTAAAAATATTTTCATTTATTTTTACTTTATTTCCATTTAATTTTTTTCTTTGATTTATTAGTTTTTATTGTTTTGTAAAGAAAAATATATACAAGTTTATTTTTTAATTTAATTTAACGCATAGACCATTGTTAAACCAACATTCAGCCGCAGGAATCTCAACATTATAGAATCTCCCCAAGAAAGGTGGCGTACTATCCTGTGGCATTGAAAAGACACAAGTGCTCAGATCTCGGCCGCCAGAAATTTCCGTCTCGCCTCACTCAGTGTTATACCAATATCTTCTTAGTCTGCAGGTGGCCTCTAAGGCTTTCCCCACGTATGAAGGCAAAAAGTGAAGGTAGGTGTAGCAGTCGAGTTATTACTAAAAACCTTATGGTGAAATGATTTGTCTTATATTCGAAATATATATTATATTATTAAAGGGGAATATTTTAACGAAATAATTTGCCCGTCAAGTGGCTCTGGAATCGAGTTATTATTAAAGGGGAATATTTTAACGAAATAATTTGCCCGTCAAGTGGCTCTGGAATCGAGTTATTACCAAAATCACTTTTATGATCCGATTTGGCTTCTATAGGAGATACAAATATATTGGTCATGGTAAGGGATATACTATTTCCTGAAAGAGCCGCCAGCTGTCGTTGGAGTTGTGTTATTAGTTAAAATCGTCAAGTGAGGAAAAGTACCGTGAATGTCCGACTATATAGACGTGCTGAACCACTGAGTACGTCGAACTTCCTTGTGTTCCGATTGGCCCAATGGATGTGATTATCCAATATCTCTATGCGGTAAAGCTTCATTCGGAGACAACAGGATTTAGTTGTTTAGGGGTACATATCAAGTGGCCACCCTTAAATCAACCACCAGAACCAATGTGGTTCTTGTTGAGACATTTAAGGTACATATTTCGTCTGAAATAAGTCTATGTATTTATATTGGATTTCTGTAGAACAACGAAACTCACCCATTTTGAATTTGTCACCAACTATACCATAACCATAGAACCGGATCATTGTTGCCGCCAGAGACTGAAGAGAAAATAGTTCTTCAAACCTATTTCATTGTGCGATTAACCATGCCATGGAATTTTAGATCATAAGATAATTTTAAGAATTTCTTCACAGACATAATACGCTCGTTAATGGATTTAAGACGGTCATGCCTTCTGATGACCACGAAACCATAATCATAAATGTGCCACTGGAACATAAATATGCATTGATATTTCGAAGTGAAAATTTTTGGTGCATCCATGTTTTTCCGACATCTCTACACAGGCTTGCACCTACTCAGCTGAGACGGGCGCTGTTATACAAAATTTTGAGTGCTCTTGCACTTTTACAATAAGATCAAATATTTTTAATTTAAACTGAAATTAATTATTGTGTTGCTAAATTTTTTAAATGAAAATCAAATTTACAATACTATTTATGTATACGGTAGTAATTAGATATTTAATAGAATTACGTATCGGAAATGCTTATTTTTAACAAAAGTTTTCGAAGCGAAAATAACTATTGTCAATTTAGGTGATTGATTCTAATTACTTTAACACGTTTAAATGATGGAATGATGGAAGGAAAAATAAAACAAAACGGAAATAGGTAATGGTTGATCATACAAGTTTGTTAGTAAAAGTCACACAAATATATGTAAATTGCGTTTCAATTCCACACTTTTGGATTACTAGCTAATACCCGCGACTACGTCTGCGTACCCCAAATGCAATTTTTATTATTATTCGTTTTCTTTTGATCCTTTTAATTTTTCACTGATTTACTAATATGAGTATGAATTGTGATGCTGGTATCACAAAAATTATAAAATATAAATTATGTATTTGGCATTTATGTAAAGCACAAACCGAATTCCACTTAATCGGCTGTTACGACAGAGATGTCAAACTTTTTGATATAATCTTAAAATATAGAACTTTGTAGCTAAGATTGTAAAAAAAAAATCTTTTTGTACCTTATTATATATATGTACGCTTATAAATGCGCTATGTGAATAAATAATAATTAATAATAGATAAGATTCTTTTTATTATTTTGGGCATGGTTTTTAAAAATTAAACAATTAGGGTATTCACAATGGTGGCATGAGTGTCGTATTCTTGTATGTCGTAAAATTGAAAAGGTTAAATAAATGTTTAGAAAACTTTAAAACTCAAGCAACTATTTTTTAACAATGTGGAAATTCATAATATGGTCAATTTGACAGGAATGTAAACCAAGTAAATTCTTTTTGATTTATCAAATATTGCGAACACTGGGGTCTTTTCATCATAGGTATTCACGCACACAAGATATGGTCGGAAAAATTCTTACAAAGAAAGGAATATAAATAAAGCGTTTGTTACCACCAATATTCGCTCTTTAAGTTTTTGACATCAGAAAATAATACAAAAATGTGTTTCAAATACAAGCTATGTACGTTAAGAATAAGCGTGCCGCAAAACAAAAACAAAAAACTTTTTTCTGACATTTTAAAATATTTTGCAAAAAGACCTTTTGATTATTTTCTTAATATTATACATATGTTTCGCGTACCAACCAGAAAGTTGCCATTTTAGTAAATTTGGAAATTTGTAGTTATTAAATATATCTAATGCAAGACTTAGACTTGACATGACTTACTTAGAAACTTAGAAACGATTTTTATCCTCAGCATTTGTATTTCTAAACGTAAAATTTTAAACATTTAATTTATTTGGGGTACTGTTGAATAAATATTCCAATTGAAATAAATTTATTTAGGCGTATCGAATTGTGGTTGTTTTTATTTTATTTTCTGTCTTTATTTGAAAGTTTGTTTTTCGCTTGCCGATGAATTGCATTTATATAAAAAATCATGATTCAATAACACAAGGTTATGTAATTTGTGACAGTGAAATCTGACACTCCTTTATCTAGATTTGTATTTTGGAAGTAGGAGGAACAAGAAGAATGTGATCGCCTTTAGCGAAAATGGTAGTCGAAAGGTACTAAAAAAGTGGGCAAAGTATACAATTAGGAGTAAAATGTGTATTACTAATGCTATGTGAATTTGCAATATACTCGGTTTTTTGATGGAAATTCTAAACAATACGTAAAAATATAGATTTTTAATTTAAGGCATTCGTCATTTCCTGGAACAAATTTAGAATACCGACCGTTTAGCTATGCAAAAACGAAAAATGCAGATCAATAGAATTTTTTTTTTATATTAATATCTTATTATTACCGATTCTTATCTTATTACCGATTAAAAAACTAATAATTTCAAAATAAAAATAATCAAATAATCAAGTTACTGCTGCTTTTCCAAACCCGCTGAAACTCGCTAGAATACAACTTTCGGATAATTTTTCTTCTTTCAACAGCTGCTTTATATTATCGAAAAAGTCTGCTCTCCTTATATAATCTTTTCAAAAGTTGGTACACAATTTCTTAGCTTAAGGATGGACCTAGAGCTACGTATTTATTGAACTGATAAAATTAATTTTGAGGTGAATATTTGAAAAAAATAGCTCGTAGTCCGTTTTATGCAATAAGTAGCATGAATTAAGCAGACTTGCGATTGACATGTAATCCAAAGAAATTAAGAACCTAATAATTATGAATACAGTTTTCTGTTTCTGTGCAGATGTAAGTCGTTTCAGAAGTAATTTTCTGCTTAGAACTCGAACTGGAGCTTACAACTGTGCCAAGATATTGAGGTTTTCCGGGGTTAAGTACACGAAAAAGGGCTTGAATGGCCACTTTTGTTTGCTCTACGACATTAAGTACTATTTTTACCATTCAAAATGCGCCTTAGAGGGTTGCTTTACGAGTTTTCCTTCAGAAACTTTGGTTATTGGAAGGAAGCATATGCTTCGTTTGGCGATGTTAGATTCGAGGACATGACGGTTAAAGTGGACGTAACTCTTGAAAGAAAAATCGTATAGCACCATTCGAGAGTGCATTTTGAAAGATAGTAATAGGACCAGAAAAATACTTGAAATAACTCCAAGAGATTTTGATTATCTATTCAGAAAATCTTCTTCTTTTAGCTTCTTGTTTCGGTTCTTTTGGCCTCGTTCCTTTTTTAAATAGTATAATTCTCGGGTTTTTAATTTTTCTACGTAATTTTTATTTTCTGAGCCTATTTGAGCAATACAGCGGACCGGCTGGCTTGGCCATGTCGTTCGATTGGGCACCGAACCTCCAGCTCTGAAAGTATTCAACCCGGAACCCGCTGGTAGTAGCAGAGGAAGAGGGAGGCCCACACTGCGATGGAAAGACCAGGTGGAAAAGGACTTGGTTTCACTTGTCATTTCAATCGGCGTCAGTTTGCACAAAAGAGAAACGACTGGCGCGCTTTGTTAAACTCGGCCAAAATCGCTAAGGAGGTTACAGCGCCAAATAAGAAGAAGAAGAAAAGGATTTGAGTTAAAAAGAATATAAATTTTAACTATGAGTCAATAGCACGTTCAATGGCTTACAATGTTGCTTTCAAAATGGGCCCTATCTCTAACTAAATAAAAAATAATCTTACCTGAAAATTAAATTGGTAAAAAAGACTCTTATACGGTTGACAAACGGGCTCGCTTATTTGCATAAACAGCCTTTATTTGCTTTAACTCATGTATGTTCCTCTTTAAAATGTGCATAAGCAGCCGAAAAAATGGACGAAATTTTTGGGAATTAACTCGGATCAGGGGAATTTTCGATGAAAACACTGGTAAAAACGGCGAGCTGTTGTCTTTTGTACAAATAAGCAAACAAAGCGGTCGAGTTTGGCGCCCGCGCTAGCCAGGTGGTGAGAGTTGCGTGCTACAAAATTTAATTTTTCTTATTATTTTATTTTATTTATTTTAGTGCTTCGCCGAGCTTCTCCTCCAAATTGCGGCGTGTGCCTTGATGTTGTCACACAAAGGGAGGGACCTAAACTTTTACACCGACTCCGAACGATGATTATATTTTTATGAGAAGCTGTTTTTCATGGCAGAAATACAATCGGAGGTTTGCCATTGTCTGCCGAGGGACGACCGCTGTTAAGAAAAACCTTTTTCTAAATTTTTTGCGATGTTGCTTTGACCAGGGATTGAACCCAGGCCCTGCATGTCACATTTTTATTTTATATCACATTTTTTATTTTACTATTAGCTATTTTAAATGTTTAGAGTTGAATTTTATTAAAAAGTCAACAACAACTAACTGAAAGCAATGTTAAAAAAATATAGAACTTATAAAAAATTAATAAAAACGAAATATATGAAAATCCTACTGGCCGTGGGACTCGAACCCACGACCCTCGGCTGGATAATGAAGAAACTGCTTTATTTTATTGTGAGAGAAGGCCGAAAATGCTCGAAGAAACCAGATTTTTCAATTCTTTAGTCTGGTGGATTCCGCGCCAAAAAACCTTTTGATATTTTGGACTGATACATTACATTAGAAATGCTGCCGACTTTATTTTCACTTAGAAAGTTAAACGCTGATTATTTTATCGAATACTGTTTTTATTAACTTCAAAGTAATACAGGGCAAGCGAAGAAAAGCAAGTACAAAGCAAAAAATGGTGGTTCTTAAATATAAAAAAAACCCTTAATTTCATGTTGTGCTTTTTTAATTTTCATTAATTTAAAGGTTTCTCAGGATTAAGTGAATTTTCATGATTGAGAAAAGAAGATTCGAAGAAGATTGTATATGACCCAGATATATCTAATCAAAAATCTGCGAAACCTGAGAAAAAATTTTTTCCTTGGTTTCGTTTTCGGCAATTTGGGTCACATACTTTTAAATTAATACAACTTGTATATAGCGGCCCGTGATTTTTTAGTACCGGGCCAGAGTTTTCTCTTGACCGCCCTGTGTAAAACCTTCCCTGGCTAACTCATTTGCAGCCTCATTTCTGGGAATTCGAGCTGACTACAACTTAGAGAATTCAAAAGACGTTTTAAGCTTTGCTAAGTAGTAAAATTTTTCAAGGTATAGTAAGAGCTAAATATATGTATATTTTATATCAGCTAAAAAATATTTTGATGTAGTTACAAATTCCTAAAAATATTTTAGCCGTTATTTTATTTAGAAAAAAATTTCGAATTTGAGATATTACGACACGCCTAAGACGTCTTGGGAATCCCCCAACGGTTTCCGATTTGCTATTATGTCAGCGCCAGAATGGTCGCGCAAATGGTGACACGTTCGCCTTGACGGTGGCGTAAACCCTTACGTTCTAAAAGCCGAGAGATCTCAGCTATAGCGAACACTTCTGCCTGAAAAAGTCATGCAACATCTGGCAAATGGATTGATATTTTTAACCCCATGCATTCAGAGAACACGCCAGCTCCAACTCCGCGTTCTGGTTTTGGAATCATCGGAGTACAAATTATATACCCAGGCAGGAGGTATAAGCTCCCCGTCAATACTATGTTTGGCGATAAATCATTATACTGTGCCTGATAGTTCTTTCTTTTTAACCGACTTCCAAAAAAGGAGGAGGTTATCAGTTCGTCGGAATATTTTTTTTTTTTTTTTTTTTTTTTTTTNTTATGTATGTTACCGCATAACTTTGGACCAAGTCAACCGATTTCGATAATTCGTTTTATATCGGAAAGGTAGTGTTTCAGAGGTGGTCCCATACTAATCTGGTTAAGATCCGATCAGCGGATCATGAGATATATATATATATTTTTTTTTTTTATACATACACAGCTCCTCGAGTCTTACAGCAGACACTGAATTTTTTAGCAGACATTGGGATTTTAAGCTAAAAAATAAGCCTAAAAATATGTTAACATTCTGCTCATACATAATTATGATGGTACGTATTTTCATGGCTTATTTTTTATAGTATAAAAATCGGATGTCTACCATTCACATTAAGGGCGTCCCTGGGCAAGTTGCCATTATCACTGTGAACCTATAACACATGCGACCTCTTCAAATGTGACCAGGTTTGCATGATTATATCGGTCCCGTCAGGCTGTCCGACATACCAGGGA